AGGAATTTTTAAGCACCTAATGTATCTTCAGCACTCAATTCATCTTTATCATGTCCTAAAACCATTTACTAAAAGTGATCATCTCTCCAGAGTCCTCCTACAATATGAGTGACGTTGAGGGCCAGCTGCTTGCTGTGTACGAGCCAAAGCTGATCAAAGACATACTCACAGAACTGTACGAGAATAGGAGACTGAATGCAGCACAGATCATCTCCCTCAATGACCAGGTTGAGTAACGATTGAGATCTTCACAAGCGAATTTCTTTAGAGCTATCATTGCTTTCTGATTGCCACCTGCAGTTTAGATTGACATTTATGTTATATTTACTTTTTGAATAGGATTTTGATTTACTTTTTTGTTTTGTTGACAGTGGAAAGTCCCAAAAGAGCTCAAGCACCTCATGGACTCTTCAAGCATGGACAAGATAAAAGAGTTTGACAGAATCTATCTCTACATCCTAATAGCCAAGGCCAGGCATTGTATGGAGTTAAATGTAAGTGCCTAGCTTCCTAATAGCTCTTTTCATTTGACCGGCCATCTGTTAGTCTGGAGTTCAATCCCCAGCAACAGCCCAGACAAGCAAGAACAACACCAGCGCCCCCGGGTGGATGGAACGTGTTAGTCATGGGTGACAACTGGTCTAAGAGAGGGGGGAACTCTGAAATCAATCCTGGAGATGGAGTCCCATAGGCGGTATGACATTGACACAATGAAAATTCTGACAAATCCTGCGACGTGGCATTGATTAAGAGCACAGTGAAACACACAAGACACACTGCTGGTCATCCACTGCATCCTGGTCTATTTCCAGTCAACTTGACTAAGTCTTACCATTGGATCAAATAGGCAAGGACGAGAGAATGATGCTGACGAATTGAGCAAATCTCCCTCACTTTAAGCAAAACACAGCTCAAGTCAAGGCATACCACCCAAGTCGAATATTGCCTCGATTATCTTTGCATGCCAAGGGCGAATAATAAAAATAATAATAATATTCTTGCATATATTTCTTTTATAACATATATAACACTTTTTCAATGTAATCTTATGATTAAACAAATAATTACTCTTACGGCCTTAATAAAAAGTTAATTACGCTCATCTCACTCTATAACTCTACACTGAATTACTTTGAACACATTTCAGCATTTGTCTTGCTTTAACCATAGCACAATAAACAACTTTGAACTAGTTTAAGATTAACAATTTATAGAGTGAAGAGTTATATTGGCTTTACTTGTTTGAAGTGAAAATATCAAAGTGAAATGTTCAATTGTAAAGAAAGCTCTTGTTTTTTCCTATATCAAAAGTAAAACGTTACATTGTAGAGAAATCTTTTTTATTTCCCCTCTTTTAGTCCTAAATAAGTCATTCTAATGAACTCTTTAATCCTAGAACCGTCTTTTTAAAAAAACATTTTTTTTTATAATAAATACTTGGTGTAATAACATGCACTAAGGTTACTGGTATGTATCAAATATATTGTGATGTCTGATCAGATCTACGAGAGGGCCCGGAGCCTGCTACCAGTTGCAGAGTCTATATTGTTGAACACATCCTACGTCGCAGCCAAGCATGTCCGTTGGCAGATCCTTCTGGCAGAGCTGTGTCATTATTCATTCAACCCAACGGTAAACAAAGATCTCAATGTTCAAGATCTCGTCATGCAATGCAAACAGTGTCTGACAATCATCAGATTGGGTCAAGGTAGGCTGCTATTGATTAATTAGCTTAGAATAAGGGTTTTCTGTTATTGGTTCAATTTAATCAGGACAAGGTATGCTACTATTGATTAATTAGCATTTAGCATATAAAAGGGGTATGCTAGTATTAATAAGACAAAGTATCTGACTTTTAAGTAATAAGCTTTGCACCGGGTACAATACTATGTAGCAATCAAACTATGGAAATAAGATGCCTGATTTTGGTGAATTAATAAGCATATATTATAATCATTTTAATTTAACATTTCTTAACTTTATACCAGTGTCTGGTAATTAGTTACTGGCCATACTTGGTCCCAGACGAGTTTCAAATGAAATGATTCGAAGAGTCCAACCAAAAGGGAATTTCACCTCTATATCCATTGAGATACTTTATTTTATTACATTGCCTTTCATTTCTATATATCAGACATCACTCCAAGTATAGAGGTTGTGGAACATTGTGCAGCTTTTCTGTGTAACATAGGAGAATGGCAGTATCTGGCTGATCTCAACAACACAGGGGATGGATTTATAGAGGTAAGTCTTAGACATTACCGTGTGTTTTTATTTAAGACTTCATTTCAGGTGAAACAATGAGCCGTAACAAAATTTTATTAAATATCATGTTCAGTGTCATATTTTAATTAGGACTAAAACTAATCGTACACTTTAAATCTGTGGTTCTCAACCTTCCTAATGACGTGACCCTTTAATGTATTTCCTCATGTTGTGGCGACACCCAGCCACAAAATTATTTTCGTTGCTACTTTATAACTGGAGAGTATATGTTTTCTGATTGTCTTAGGCGACCCCTGTGAAAGGGTCGTTCGACCCCCCCCCCCCCCCAAAGTGGTCGCGACCCACAGTTTGAGAACCGCTGCTTTAAATCATTGCTCTCACTGAAGAAGTTGAAATTTACAGCAACTATTCTGTTAGTAGTAATCTAAAAATCCCATGAGATGTTCATCAATAAAAAAAGTTTCACCATACAATGCCCCCTGATTGTAATATCTTTATCTGTCTTATCAGTTTTCACGTCTGCTGGCTCTTTTGGTGCGTGATATTCAACAGAAGAAAAATGTCAGGAAACCAGCCAGAGACTTATGGGATGCAGTTATAGGAGTTTTTCAAACTGGTAAATATGTAACTTTATTTAAAAATGGTTCTCTAATGTGATTTTAAAATATACCAAAAAACTATCAGAAAGTTAAAGTCAAAGCTTCCAATAGTTTTTCGATGACTTAAGAAATCTGCTATAAAATTAGAAATGAAGAAAAACTGCTTGTTGTTTGTGAAGGAACAATATTTTCTCAGTCATAATAAGTGTCCCAAATTTTAAAAAAAGAACTCAAATACTGTCTTGCATCGCTTTTATCTCAAGCAGCTTTACACCTGTCCTTGCCACCACATCTAGGAGTTTAATTCATGGCAGCTGGCGCCCATTATTTTTGCACTCTGCCTGCAGTGCCCTTCATTTCATTAAATTGTATTTTTTCCATGTTTTTAGCATTCTATTTAGGATTTTAATTTCAAATAATCTATGTAGGGAACACCAAACGTCCACAGTCATCACGAGACAGTGCCATGAGAAGAGATCAGCAATGTGGAATCCTGCCCTTAAATTTGTTTACAAGTTTCTTACGGAAGGTAAAGGACACAACTGTTCTCTCTGTGCTCGTTTCGTTATTTGCAAAACTCTTCAGTATTCTCCGAGATGATGTGACCAGTGAGATATCCACTGAGTACATCTACTTGTGGCCCACGGCTATAGGCACCTCCATAAGCTCTGTGGCATCTGTAGAGGAAGCATTAAAGCTGGTGCTGAGTCACAGCTTGAGGACAGATCCTATGCAGCCGTCATGGCTGCGCACACAAGCCGACATATACTTTGTGCAAAACCAGTACGCCTCCGCTGTCAAGTTTTACTTGGAGGCGGGTGTTGTGGCAACAGACTTTTTCACCTGCCCCGTCCCTAGGTCCATCTATGATGACACTGTCTTGAGACGCATCATTAAATGCTGCTCATACCTGCAGTGTCACACCCAGGTGGCTGTGCTGTGTCAGTACCTTGACGAGGTGGACTACACCACAGCATTTAAATCACTGCAGGAGAGGAACGTGTACGATGCAATGGATGCCTACTACTGCTGCATCTGGGATGTCAGCATTCTAGAGTTTCTGGTCCACTTGCATACTCGAAAAGGAGAGATGGACAAGCGACAGGCAGCATTACGGGCTCTCAGCCAAATGGACCTTAATTCTAACAACCCTGACCAAATACAGAGGAGAGCAGTTCACATTCGTAAAACTAAATTCTTAAGAGCTATGGCCAAGCAATATTTGGGATAGGGGACAATTCAAGTAAAAGTGATGTTTCAATAAAAGAAGAGTACAAATTTAAGTTTGATTTTTTTAAAATTCAAATTTAAACAGTCAATTACTGATCCAACTATTTTGTGTGTTATTACTCTATTACTTAACTGTCATCATCCATAGTTTTATTCATTTTCATGGGAACATTCATTTACCGGTACTGAAGATTTGAATTATGTGAAGATCAATTTTTCTCTTTGTACCATATACAAAATTGTTTGATTTTTTTAAAGATTACCTGGGTAACATTTTTAAAACATTTTATCAGAGGTCCTTTTGAACAAATTTAGTGGTGGATTTTCATTTTTCTACACCAATGGGATTAAATGAGTGTGCATTTTTTTTCCATTAGATGTTATGTTTAAAAACATTTTCTACATCATTATCTTCATCTGTTTGGAAAACTGTTTATAAAATATATAAGAGATGTTAAATTTATTTTGTTATTGAAAATGAAATTTTTACAACCACTGATTGAAGTACTGTAACCGTAACCAAAATTGTGTAAAGTTAGATTTTTTTAGGCTATTTGTCTTGCAAAACTGTTGTGTACAACTATAAGTATGATTCATGTACCAGTCCATTGTTGTAAAGGAAGTTGGTTTCCACTGTTTGACATTTTCAATAAAGCTGCTGATTATCAACAGGTACTAAAAATGGGTGGTTTGTTTTTTTGACAGAATTGTATGTATAATAATACTAATACAATAATCATACCGGTTAGAAATTATATCATTCATCATCAGCTCACACAATAAATGTGAGCAGTAGAGTTCCTAATGCTGTGATCATTAACTTTACATTAGTAGACTATTTAGAACAGATTTTTGTGATTCCTGCATATCCACTGATGTAAAATTTCTATATAATATAACTTAAGTAAAAGAGAACATGAAAGTGTATAAAAAAACAAACAGCACTGTCTTTTCATAAATATATTTAAATTATATAATATTACAACTTTCCAGGATCCTTAAAACAACATAATCAACCTCATTGTAAACTCATTCATAATTCAACCGCCGTTTAGATGGGAGAAACGAACTTGAGCAAATAACCAAGTTGAAATAAAACAAGTACAGGGCTTAGACTTTAGACCATTACCATATTTTTCAGTTTTAAAGCACTGAACATGTTCCATCATTTATAATAATATAAGCTGAGGGATCACATCTTCCAGAATTTTTATTTTTGCTTCAAAATTGTTCATGGCTGTACTGTAATAGCAAGAATCTTATACTCCGTTCGGGTCAATGGGAAAAGCCATGACGTAATCGTGCATCGCAAACTTCCATGTGCACAATCGTGCCATTCTGTCAAACTGACTCCTGTCTTGCTTGAACAGCTTGCCTATGTCCGGCTCCATGCATATGGTGCAGTATGGATCTGTTAAAAGTGACTGAATGCTTATCAAGACTTTTGAGATGGTCAGGGCCAGACTCCAGTTGTGATGGATAGAGTCCAGGCCAACATCGCCGTGGCGAGAAATATTGGGGTGGAAAATCTTGGTGATGAACCGAACTTTAGGTGGTCTCATGGGATAACTAATGAAAATTTAAAAAAAAACAAGTCATCAAATAAATATTGATATCACATTTTACTGAACATAAAGAACTATAAGTGCCCCAACTTCATGAGTTAACATTTTTATCGCTGCATGAGTACATATATCTAAAGAACTGTTAAACAATCATTCATAAAAATTCCCAATAAATTTTAATCACATTGTAAAACAAAAACTGTATAAAATTAGATTTCACAACCATACCCAGCTCTCTGACACACTTTAAACCAATGGTATTTGAGCACATCCCTCTGATTACCCCAATAACAGACTTATGTGACACCCAGATACGTAATGACTACCGGTACATAATCATTATAAAATTATTAATACTGGGAAATGCTTTTAACTTATATATATAATAATTTGTTGCATTAGAAAGAAGTCTAAGACTAAACATTGGTGAACCATGGAAACTCCTTTTCTTTTTGTGTTAATTAAAATAAAAAATCTATATTATATTTGGTTTGCTGACCCCAGGTTGGGAAATACTGATCTTGAGACAATGTGATAAAACTGAAATATATCAAAGAATGTTTGATTAATGATTTCACCTCTGTGGTATCTGTAAGTATAATAGGAACAAGCCCCCTTCATATGGACTACCCTGAGGCCCAGTGATGGAGGCCTGCCAGTGGCAACAATGACGGTCTAAAGGTGTGGCCTGAATCCCCTCTGGTGGATCTGTTTTAAGGGTTTTTAACTCACTACGAAGTCTCCTGTGGCGCCAAGAATTTTCTTCTATTGGGGGAGTACTCTGAAAAAAAAAAAATCACATTTAGGAGGAAAACAAATCTGTGTTACTATCTTTTTAGGCTTCGACTTGCATCCATTGATCAATGACAATGGGTGTGAAATCATTTGCATTTCTGGATTTAAGCTCAGTTCTGGACTTTCAGACATCAAAGAAACAGGGGCCGTCAAAATCAAAGCCTTTGTTCACAGCCTGATTTTGTTTTTCTGCACCTCTTCATGAACATCATGTATGACCATTTTTGTCACTGGTCACTGCCAGATGCCTATCGGTTCCCAAGTGCTTACTTTAAGGAAAATTAATGCTAGCTGATGCTATTTATCAACTACATGCTGTCAAGTCAGTGTCCAAGGGACATGAGACAATCTGAGTGACACACTGAAGTGTTTTACAGTTTCCTTGCCAAGGATATTTTCAACATAGAGCCAACTCCAGGTAGTCTGAGTATCTGCAAACTCATTCAGATTATTATTAGTCCCTGCTATTATTACTACTAGATGTAAGATAACAATGCAATGCTATTCAAAATGCAATTCAAATGAGTGGTGAAACAACTAAACTTAACAAGTTAAAATGATATGACTAACCTGCAACATCATGCTCTCAAGACAGTATCGACATGGAGAACTCAGTAATCTGCAAGAAATAATTTGGAAATTTGTATTTAAAAGTATCAATATATAAAAACAACGTAGTGGCTATTCGGACCCGGGTCCAAGAAGTGAGAGGTTGGGATTAAAATTTAAAAAAAAATATTATTGTTAGGTTTTAAGACACAATTTGGTTTCAAATGAAAAATAATTGAAAGGACTATATGTTTGTACCCAGGTCCGAATAACAGTGATACATTCCCGGTTCCATTTTGACTAAATGCTATTCGGATGTGGTAGTTTATTTTAATTAAACTGAAGAAGTAAGTTTACAAACAGATTGTCCATTCAATTATCTTTCATTTGATACCAAATTTTGTCTTACAAACCTTACAATAATTTTTAAATATTTTTTAATAAATCTAAACTCTCACTTCTCGGACCCGGGTCCGAATAGCCGCAGCCTAAAAACAAAGGAAAACACCATCATCAAACCGCATATCCAATTACATTAACTGTAAAGAATATCAAAATAAATAGTTTTGGAAATCCACCAACAAAATGTTTCATAATTTAAATCATTCCTGATCTTTTTGGGACAGCTGACCTTGTCCCTTAGTCAATTCTTCATTAACTTATTTTTTACTTTTTTTTAGGATATCTTTTAATGTATTTTAAATAAAATATTACTTTGCTGCGTAGAAAAAGTTGAGCTCCTTACAAAGGAAAAAATGAGAACAGACACAAAAAGCCATTGCAACAACTGAAAGAAGAGTATGGGATGTTAATCCTTACAAACAGCTATTCGTGAATAATAAAGCCAGGTTTGAGCATCACTGTTTACTTATGTTTTTCAAAAAAGGGATAAAACAGGAATTTATCATAAACAAGTTTTCTTACAGTTGTGTGTAGATAGTTTTCCAGCAGCGGACTTTGTACTGGAGTTGAAATAGTGGCCAGCGCAGCTGAATAAAATGCTTCCACTTGGATTGTGGTATCTCACCATCCAGGATCTGCCGCCAGCGTGTGCACACATTACCAGCCACCCACAGGGAGATGTCATCAAGGTTTTTGAACACAAGCAGAAGAACTGGTGCAAAATCAAAGTCATTAATTTCAAAGGAAAAAATGATTAGACCCACTGTTGCCAATTTACTTTCTCTGGATTTTTGTTATCTAAAAAAAAAAATGTTGTACATCTCTTACAACATTCAATTGTTTCCTTAAACAGAAGAAATCGATTTATTTACTAGAAAATCCTTCCTACATTTTGACATTATCAAAACATATTTTTAATTAACTATCCCATAATTCATCTGAAGACATAAATAGTGGAACAAGATACATTCAGGCTTGAAATGAAAAGACAGGACAGATAAAAGGACATTTCGTTCCATGTTTGGTCTTTCACATAGAGCATTTCCTCTTCTCAACTTGGAGAGTCTAAACATGTCTCATTCCACTATTTATTATCTTGAGACACATTAAAGTTAGAGTAAAAAAATCAAATAAATGAATACGTTCATAAAATAACTTTATGGTCTGAGTGCAATCTATTACATTAAAAATAACTCAACAACTTAGTTAACTTGCCTTCTGGTGGTAAAGACTCTATTAATCTTGGAGAGACGCGGTCAAGTTCCCTTGGTATTGTTAAAGCATTGATTCTTTCTGCTAATTTATCTGGCTTATGCCTGGCTGGTTTCCTTGACTGTTGGTAGACCTGCAGCATTAAAAAAAATTAATTTGAACTTTAAAGAGGGTGTCAAACACTATTACTTTACTTCCACAAAAGTTTTAATTTTAAGGGTTTATTTCTTTAGGAATTACACTCTGCTCTATGGAAATAATAAAAATAATGAACCCCTTTTTTTTTTAATATACCATTTGAGGAAAATAACTGCAACCCTTGAATTCACCTTTTGATTAAATTGACTTTCCACAAAATTTTAAACTTTTTGTCTTTTACTTTTAATACAAAATGTTTTATTCACAAATCAAAATTACCTCCCTTTCTTGTATGTCTCGGCTGGCATAAAAGTCTGTCTCCACACCTGGCTCTTCAGTACCTGAATCATCGGAATCTACTTTCTGAATCATAAAAGATTTTATTTAAAAACAAAAAAACTATTTTATTTGTGGAATGAATTTTTTTTTTTTTTAAATGAGCCTAACCATAGACAATGCACAGAGATGGTAAAATTTGATACTGGGTATGTCAAGAACTTCTAGGCAATTATAAAAACTATTTTTTCATTTACCTGATTGTAAACTCTGTTGTCCCCTTCTTCCCCCTCCTCCCCATCCTCCTTGAGCTGGGCTGAGAATAAGAAGAGATGACATGTGCTGCAAACTGGCTGCCCAAAGTTGCCTCCATAGAACCCTTGACACATCATACAGCTCTCATACTGCAAACAAGTAGAAGGAAATGAGCGAAATGATATATGGGAAAACCTGAAATAAAAAGGATGCAACGAAACAACATATATGTCTGCCTTCTTCAGCAAACAAACAACAATAAAAATAATTTAAAAATTAATAAAACCCGTAGCTGCAATGTAGCATCCGAGAGAACAGCAAGAGGAAAGTGACAGAACATAAGTGGGAGAGAGACTAAATACAGTCAAAATGGGATGGAAGAGAGGAAAAGAAAATCCACTGTGATTGATAATAATGAGGAGGGGGCCAAGAAAAGGTTTAAAAAGTGGATGAGAACGATACATTCAAGCCATGTGGTGTCAAGATTCCATAAGTCTGGATCAGTTTGCTTTCCAAATTCACCTGGTTTGGTGTCTTTGTACAAGACACAGTAGAGCACCTTAAGCAACCAGCTGCAGTAAATTCAACTAGGCTCACTTTGTTCAAAATGTGCTCTTCAAAACCTTTTAAAAAAATGTGGATAATCATGTCTGCATACTGTACATTGAAGTGTCTGAGGGTTCAAAAAATGTGTGCAACCGGAAGCCACAAGCACCAAGTAAACAAATACATATAAAATAAAATCAACACAACAAATGTTTTCTATAGATATTTCAGCTACTTGTACCAAGGGGTTTTCTTTGAGTTTTTACTATGTGCTGTTTTGTTTGAATAATCTTAATAATGTTATGCAGAGATATTCATTTACTGTGCCACATAAGTATTTCTTAAAGAAAAGCCTTTATTATTAATACCATTATTAAGTAAAGAAGATGCGATTAAAGGTAATGACTAATTTTAGTTTATAAAAAAGAAATTAAATATGATGGTCATATAATATATATGACTGGCACCTAAAATTGTGAAAAATTGATCAAATTAACACCTGGCTAGGCAAATTTTATAAGCCAACGATAAATACAAAAAGGAGGATGTGCAGCTACAAAACAATGACTGGCTATAAACTATGAACACTATAATAATTTAATATTTTAATCATGATCCAGCCCCATAAAAATAGTTGTTTAATTAACATGCTTGATCTAGGCCTCCACACACTGTGGTGTAGTATAATAGCAATATACTTATCAGTATTGGACATTATCAGTATTGGACAACTATGCCAATTAAAGACTAAGATTTTAGTAAAATGGAATATAACACTTGGTACACTGCCAGCTGAAAACTTGAAAGAACACAAAACAAAACTAAAAGCCAAGCAGACTCTTAAAAAGTATACTATAATGAAGCATTTACTATACTATACTTATAATATATAACAGCCTTAACAGGGGTTTGTAATGTTTTGGTAATATTGTGTCAAAGTAGGATTTCTAAACTGTTGGGTTCAAGGTGCAAACAATCTGTCTTTTTGTTATTTCTTTTTGGTCTTCTGCGTGCCATTGAAAACCGCTCTGCATGTCATGTCTGACAGGCATGACTAAGATTTTTTTAACCCTGCTCTCTACTATAATGATGATTGAGTACTTTTATAGCGCTTGTGTCCATGCTATTTTAATATGCTCACAGCGCTCTGATGTCCTATAATCTATTTAAAGAAAAAGTCTTTAAATTGTTCTTAAATGATTTTTTTTAATCATTTTCAAAGTCCCTCAAAGATTGAGGCAAACTGTTCCACAATTTAGGCACAATAGCTTCAAATAAGCGCACCCTTATGACTTCTTTCTGTGTCTATCGACACTGGGAACTCTCAGTAAGGTATGTGTTGAAGAGCGCAGGTTTTGTATGGATACATTTTTAGAAATCAGTTTTTAAAGATATATTGGTGCAGAGATTTTATACAGCTATACACCAGGGACAGAAATTTGTAGTCAATGCGCTCACTCACAGGAAACCAATGGAGATCTTTAAGAACTGGGTTGATGTGGTCAGTTTTCTTTATACCCGATACAATGTGTGCTGCAGTGTTTTTTGCCTTCTGGAGCCTCTGAATTTGGTTTTGAGGTCAACCCCACAAACAACTGTTAGAGTAATCTAATCTTGATTGGATAAGAGTTACTGCTACAGCATTGCCTGTTCTCTTATTAAGTTGAGGACGCAGCTGATCCAGAGCAAAGATGACAGAAACAAGCCCTGACCACAGAACTGATATGAGGGATGATAGTAAGTTGCTGTCAGTGTAGAAGCCAAGGTAAAACTAGTATACCGGTAACATAAATTATAAGTGTCATAAAAGTCAAGTCACTAAGTAAAAATTAACCAATTACAGTAGTAGCCAAGCTGTGGGATCCAAAAACATTTTAAAAAAAGGTTAAAAAAAACAACAACTCTACAAAAGCAGAAAAAATTGAAAAGTTGAAAGAAAGTATAATTTATAACTTTTTTTATCATTTTTATCTATGCTTTAATTGTATGAAGAAAAAATAAATTGTTTTCCTTTTGCTGCAAGCACATTTTTATCAAATAAACTCATTCATAAATGGATTGATTGCATTTTAAAAATGAAAAAAGCTTGTTTTAAGTCCAATTTTTGTAAAATTTTAATTTTTTTACACGGGTAAATAACAATTTATAAAAAATGGACACTGATTACGAATATGATAGCAATTTAGATGTAATTATACATAATTCTACTAGCTGTAGTACAGATTTCTGTATTTAAATTAATGAAGTAATATATCGTCAGGTCAGTCTTGAAAAAGTTATTGAGTTCTGTGTACCATCAACATTTAACCTCATTTTTCACCACACAGTACTGGGGGAAAATGTCATGAGGATACATATTTTTTTCTATTCCATTATTTGGAGATAAAATGTTAATTTGAAGCTCCCAGCTGGAGTAAAATAATCAATACAATATAAGTTAAGCCTCTAATTCTAATTGGCTCTAAATGACATATGCTTGAACAATGAAGAAGATCATAGCCACTTTAAGTTTTATAAAGAGTTAACATATTAAATTAAACAATACCATAGTAATAAATTAAATAGGATTAGTGACTTATGTTATTAATTGATAGTAATATTAAATAAATTTAATTATTTAATGGACATTAATAGAGCACTTTCTAAAACTGCATATTTGTGCTTATGGTTTACTACCCAAAGTAGTTACTACCATACTACGCCGTCTAAGTCTTAGTATTATCGAATGATATCATTGAAACCGAGCTTAGATTTAGATGGCTAAAGAGATTAACGTTTTCTATTGCCCAACATTCCACTGCCAGTTTTGAGCGTGTGTCTTGTGCAAAATGTTTCTTTTCTAAATACAGTGAAAACCAGTAGCAAAGCCTGTAAAGCTGTACTGTACACATCAGCAAATGTATAAAAATCATACAAAGTAAGGGTAAACCGTAAAGATTGGCTATTGGCATGTATAATAAGGTTACCTAGATTTAAAACAGTATGTGAGATTCAGTTCAAAGTTGGATGATATACTAGCAACTATTTTATAAACTAGGCCTATCAACAGGTAAGGAAAGGGCTAGTGGGGGGCAGAGAGGGTGAGCCATTTCTTGGAGTGGCATTTGCAGCAGATACTTTATTTTTAATAACCTCTTATAACTTATATATATTTTGTTTCTGGTGTTTCTTGCTCCCTTTTCAAATCCCTGACTCCAAATGTATTATAATTATATTATATTAATTGTACTGAGTGGGGAAAAAAGGATGTCATGTGTGATGGTTGAACTAAGGTAAGAAAAATTTAATTAGTGGGAGGTAAGGATTATATTAATCAATAGAGCCACAGGTATGGTGTAGGCACTGTAGGACTGTCGGTAGGCTTATTCAAACTTATTGTTTTAAGACAGGTAGGTACGGTGTAGGACTGTCAGTAGGCCGTAGGCCTATTTCTCAAAATACCCATACCCAGTGTAAAAAAAAATGCGACCAGTTAAGCCCTAGTTAATTTATATTATTATTCTATAGTCTATTGTTTTGTTTTTTTGACTTAAAATATTTTATGTGTATTCACTATTCAGTCTATTCTGCAGGCATTATGTATGAGTATGATGAGATGATCGTGGCTGTATGAGTATGGTTTTTGTCAATTAGGAATTAATGAAAGTGATGCGAGTGAGTGAGGAGGCTACACGACTCCGACAACGACTACTAAGATAAGGGATTACCGACTACTAATATAAGCCTATAAAGTATTATTAAACATTATTAAACAAAGTATAAACTAAACTAACTAAACTACTATGAACTATGACTATGCCTCGGCTGATTGCTCCAATTAAAAAATATGGCCCTATTATAGTCTATAACTTATCATACAGCATTAAATAATAACCAAAACTGAAATTACATTAGATTTCAGGAACTGTTCCATGGTAGACCTATTTAGTAAACTATTTTCAAGGGATTTATTCTAGTCTGTGTATGTCTATTGACATTTTTAATCGGAATAGCCATTTCGGTCACACTCTTTACCGAGATCCGAGATTAAACATAGATTTAACCCAGATATGTTATCGGTTTAAAAGTTATATCTCGGAGAAATTACATATTTGTAAATTAAATTTATGTTATAAATTAAATCAGAGCTATCTCGTTACTTTTGGAGGCCCAGATTCACTTTTAATTGTTTGTTATTTCCTGCAACATACATTTAAAGTTTGTTTTGCATTTGTATGAGTCAATGAGCGTCTTTAATTAAAACTTTTCAACAAATATACATAAAAGTATAATATTTTACGTTACTTAAAGTTTAATTCAAAGAGAAGTAGGGCACACTTTGCGTCTATGAAAGCTCATGATATTATTGATAATACACATATTTTTTAAAAATGCTGTGAGGCCGGGTTTCAGAATATAATACACCGCATCCTAGACTCTCTACTCGAGTGAGAATAAATACGAAAGTGACAGAAGCTCCTCTACCAGCTCTGTCTTCTCGATGTCAATCTTCTCAACTTCAACATCAGCATGATAATGTACTGTTTACTGTTAATGCGCTACTGCAGTGGACATAAATGCACAATGCTCCAGACGTACTGGCTTAGGAAAGGGGTGAGGAAAGGGTGGCAATGTTTTCTATATATTTTGGAGCGGCATTTTCGGCAAAATGCAGAGTTTTTTTTCGTGGGAGAGGGTGGCAAAATATTTATTGAGCCCCGGCGGGACTAATGCTAGCTTCGCCATAGTCCATTACAACAACTTCTTCTAGTGTTTTAGCAATGAAATGTTGTAAAAGAATGCACGCGCAACACAGCAAACTGTTCACCAAAGAAGACAAGAGCGGCATAGATTAAGTAAAAGAAGAACGGGGCTTTGAATTTGTGCAAAGCATTGATGAGAGGGTTGTCTCAATCTTCATATCCAAACTGGCGATGCACACATCATATATTTCAGTTTCAGCTGGTATCTCGGGTGGTACTTCAAGCTGTTCACATACGTTTTTGCCATGTCGTCTGTCTACTTGTGAGAAGAGACAGTGTCGCTTTTGCTACAGCTGTGCAGCCTACTTAGAAAAAGGATGAAATAAAGAAATAATAATATTGTGTTTTGTAATAGTGATAAAAATCCTTAAATTTTAATTTCAAAGTGTGTGGTCGTGGTGGCTATGATGTTTTTAAAATAATGAAGATATTTCGCCGTTTAAAAATTTATACTGATTTACTTTGTTTAGTTAAACTTTAAAACTTAATTTATTCATTAACCATAATTTTAAATTGGATTTACAATTACTATTGGGGTGTTTTTATTAAAAATTAATTCCCGATTACAAAAATATCGGTCACAGTGATCGAATACCTCAAAAAGTTAACGGAGTGGCTATAGGTACCCGGGTATCTATAGTAGTAATTGGCTATTCGGAACCGGCTGGTCACGTGAGGGCTCTATAATATTCGGTTGGTCACGTGACGGTTATGACGAATACTTCCTGTTGGTTTGCCATCTTAGAGAGCCATTACTATCAATCGAGAAATGTGCCATAATTTGAAGATTTTCATGAACTGGTAGCTTTGAAGAAACACGAATAACAATGTGACGTACATCTAAAAGCAAGTAAGAATACGGGCTAATTATGATATTATTACCCATGACGTCATTTGCTTATTTATTTAAAATTTGTGCAAGGAAAGGCAGGAGTCATTCCCCTTTGTTGATATTGTTGTTAATTTTATTGGATGAAGTGTCGGAAGTGGTGGCGGCGAAGGAATATTTTAATAACCGGTTGGAACAAGATTTCGTGTGAATAATTAACGAAGATTCAAAGAAAAGTTAAATTTTGTGGTTTTAAAACTGAAATTTTATGTTTTTGGAATTCATGCAGAGAGTGTGGAATTGTCAGAATGTTAGAAATATTGATGAAAAATAGAGAAATTAATTTTCGTATATGGTACTTGAAAATCATGCGGATCTAGAAAGGTGTGATTAAATATTACGTCACTGTCGTCTTATTGTGCTCCGGTGTCCGGCGGTAAGTTCAAAATATCCAAAATTGTCATGGGGAGGAGCAGTTCGACTCATATCTATATGAATATATGTGGCGACGCTCGTGTGGCACTAAAGATCAAATGAGGGAATTTTTAAATGTCATAAAAATTGTGTATCCGCCCCATTTACGAGATCTTGCTTCGTAAAGAGTGAGTAAAATAACGAATTATCATTTGAAAATTTCATTGTTTTTTGTAGCTTTTTAAAATCGTCCATTACCATGCATTTCTGAATTTTAGGGTTAAGGTTAGGGTTTAGGGTTTATTGTTAGGGTTAGGTTTAGGGTTAGGTTTAGGGTTAGGTTTAGGGTCAGGGTTAGGGTTAGGTTTAGGGTCAGGGTTAGGGTTAGGTTTAGGGTTAGGTTTAGGGTCAGGGTTAGGGTTAGGTTTAGGGTTAGGTTTAGGGTTAGGGTTAGGTTTAGGGTCAGGGTTAGGGTTAGGGTCAGGGTTAGGGTTAGGTTTAGGGTTAGGTTTAGGGTTAGGTTTAGGGTCAGGGTTAGGGTTAGGTTTAGGGTCAGGTTTAGGGTTAGGGTCAGGTTTAGGGTTAGGGTTAGGTTTAGGGTCAGGGTTAGGGTCAGGTTTAGGGTTAGGGTCAGGGTTAGGGTTAGGTTTAGGGTTAGGTTTAGGGTCATGTTTAGGGTTAGGTTTAGGGTTAGGTTTAGGGTTAGGTTTAGGGTCAGGGTTAGGTTTAGGGTCAGGGTTAGGGTTAGGTTTAGGGTTAGGGTTAGGTTTAGGGTTAGGTTTAGGGTTAGGTTTAGGGTTAGGGATAGGGTTAGGTTTAGGGTCAGGGTTAGGGTCAGGTTTAGGGTTAGGTTTAGGGTCAGGGTTAGGGTTAGGTTTAGGGTTAGGTTTAGGGTCAGGTTTAGGGTTAGGTTTAGGGTTAGGTTTAGGGTTAGGTTTAGGGATAGGGTTAGGGTTAGGGTCAGGTTTAGGGTTAGGTTTAGGGTCAGGGTTAGGTTTAGGGTCAGGTTTAGGGTTAGGTTTAGGGTTAGGTTTAGGGTTAGGTTTAGGGTTAGGTTTAGGGTTAGGGTTAGGGTCAGGTTTAGGGTCAGGGTTAGGTTTAGGGTTAGGTTTAGGGTTAGATTTAGGGTTAGGTTTAGGGTTTAGGATCCAGGTTAGGGATTTGCGCCATCAAATTTTTGCTCATTTTTCAAAAATTTCAAAAAAAAAAAATTCAAATTTTACTCGTTTTTTTCAATTTTTTTTAAAAATCATTTTTCTTAAATTTCAAAATTTAATTGTTTTTTACAATTTTTTTAAAATTACAAAACCAAATTTTTCGTTGTTTTTTTATTTTTTTCCGAAAAATTTTTTTTCTTCCATTTCTTTACATTTTACATTTTCTTTAAAATATTTTTCACAGATTACTATATATTTGTGTGTTTTCCTATCTTGAAAATTAAATTTTCTTGTAATATTGCTTATTTTCGATCTTTCGGTAAGTTTTTTGATAAAACGCATTCTCCCCAACCGTTCCCTTTTTGTACAATACGTGTCTTTGCACTACTTTTTTTTTTTTTTGGGTCGGCCGCCATCTTGGTTGACATGATCCGTGACCTTCTCACGGATCATGTCAACAAAGATGGCGGCCATGCTTGGGAAACCCCGGGTACCACTCTCATAATTTACCATTGTTTAAATAGCCCTTCAAACCGGAACACCTGGATTTTTTCTTGGCCGACGCTCAAGTGGTAAATTACCGATTAAAAAACGCGAAACAACAATACCCTCAGTAAATTAAAAAGTGGAGGTCGCCATTTTGACAACGAAATCACGATACCCGTTTTTCGGGTAGTTCCGGGCCATTCCGAGGTCGAGGTCCCTACTAAAGAGTTAAATTAAGGCAATGAAATTTAAGCGCGAATAATTATTTCTAGTGATATAAAATTAAAACTTCCTCTTTACCTGATGGAACTAAAGGCTTCAAATTGCATCTTTTTGTTCGAATACAATAACCATTTAACAAAATAGTACAAGATTTTTAAAAAAATGTACACTTCATGATTCTTTTGTCATTTACGACGCCATTGTGGGAAAACAAAGAGAACTCTTCTGTCTTCAAAGATACGTTATAAAAAATGCCCATTAGGATACATTTAGATTTAAATATTTTTTATTTTTATTTTATAAATCTATCTACTTTGTCTGATATTTCTTTCTAGCCCACTGGATCCATGCAGAGCCATGTAAAGGTGGTACTCGCAAAGGACCTCAATATCAGGGGATGCATTCGCCCAGGGCACTTTAAAAAAAAAAATTATAATTAGGGGTGGCCGGGTGGCATTTTCGGCGAGCTGAAGAGTTTTTTTTTTTTTAACTTAGTGGTAGTGGGTATCACAACTCTCTAGTTAACATATCGCAACATAATCCCTGGTCCGCTCGCAAAGTTCCCCAGATCTGCTCATTATGAGGACACGTAACACATCAACCAACGCTTGGACATTGGCTCTCTGCTGTTGGTGAAATTCTATAACGTGGTCCATTAATCATTAATAATTAAATTAACATTATTACTTTTCTAAAATTCAAATGAAAACAATAAATGTATCTAAATACTCTTGATTACTATATTAAAAAAAAAATGATCTACGAAAATGGCTAAAACAAAAAAATTAAATTAGAAAGAAAAAACAACTACCTGCAATAAAAAAACAACAACAAAAAAGAATAAAACTCTGAATCTATGAAATAAAGAGAAAAAACACTTTTAAAAAAATGCTCATACTATTATTGTTATCACACCCGGCTCCGAAGCCATTTAATCTATATGCAGCCACTCCGGGTCCGAATAGCTATTTGTCACTATATGTACCCGGGTACCTACAGGTGCAGCTTATATATATATATATATATATATATACTAGGATATATGACCCGGTATTATCGGAATAATCATTAAAGGCATATTCCACTAATGTCTACCTTCTCTTGCAAAGTCTCAACATCTAAAAATCCAAATTTTACAAATGTTACTGAATCAGAGAAGAGATTTTGATTCAACAAGATTTAAATTAATAAAATGTTTAAAATTCAACATCCTTGAAATGAATATTTA